CAGTCTCTCCCTCCTCCTCAGCCTCTCTCCCTCCCTCTGTCTCTCTCTTTCAACATCTTTGTCCCCGAGTTCAGTTTTGTCCGTCGGAAGGGGAAAAAAACATGGGGAAGACTTGGCCGCCTCTGAAGAATGACCGACTCCTGCGGGCCGCACGAGGTGCGTTTGTATACCGAATCACACAAGGGCGTTCGAAAACGTCTGCAAAGCAAAGCACCTGAAAAGGTTATGCAAATCGCCCACCGACTAAAATAGATGTGCAGGCGAAAAAGTTGACAGGCCACCGATATGGGTGATGCGACAAGGTACGACCACACTACCGCTGTTGTTGTTGTTGCTGCTACTATTCCTCCCTCCCCTGGTGGCATTGAAGTGTCGCTCTCTAAATCAAATCATCTTTCCCCTGTTCCCTTTTCCCTTACTCCCTCATCTCGCTGCTAACATTTCCCCCGCGCACCGCGGTTTCAAAAACCAAAAACAGCTGGCCGCTATCTTCCCGAGTACCACCAGGCCAAGGGCAAACGCGACTTCTTCGAATGCTGCCGGTCCCCTGAGATCGCCTCGACCCTGACTCTCCAACCGATCGACCGGTACGACGGCCTCATCGACGGGGCCATCATCTTCTCCGACATCCTCGTCATCCCACAGGCCATGGGCATGGAGGTGCTGATGGTCGACGGCGTCGGGCCCCGGTTCCCCAACCCGCTCCGCAGCCCCTCGGACGCACAGTACCAGGAGATTGTGAAGAGGGAGGTGGACGTCAAGAAGGAGTTGGACTACGTGTACAAGGCCATCACATTGACACGGGAGAAGTTGGCCGGACGGGTGCCCTTGTTTGGGTTCTGCGGCGCGCCCTGGACGCTGCTATGCTACATGGTGGAAGGAGGCGGCACGAAAATGTTCAAGGAAGCAAAGACGTGGGTCTACAAGTATCCCGAAGAGAGCAAGGTTCTCCTGCGAAAGATGGCTGCCATCTGTGTCGAGTATCTCGCGTTACAGGTGGCCGCAGGAGCACAGATTGTGCAAGTTTTCGACTCCTGGGCGGGGGAACTCTCGCCAGTGTCATTTAAGGAGATCGCTCTACCGTCGCTACGCTATATTGCAGAGCAGCTACCCAAGCGGTTACAGGAGATGGGCGAAGATGTGGTCCCCATGGTGGTCTTTGCAAAGGGCGCATGGTACGCTCTCGACGACCTGTGCGACTTGGGCTATGATGTTGTGGGTCTGGATTGGTTGCATGACCCCAAGGAGGCAGCGAAGATTGCGAGAGGGAGGGTGACATTACAGGGAAACGCGGACCCGGGCGTGCTCTACGGAGGCCGTGAAGCCATCACGAAAGTGGTGGAGAACATGGTCAAGGGTTTCGGAGGAGGAAAGGAACGATGGATTGCCAACCTGGGACACGGCGTGACTCCGGGCGTCAATCCCGACGATCTCAAGTTCTTCTTTGAAGAGATCCACCGGTGTACTGCATAAAGAGCCGCAAAGAGGGGGAAGAGGCAGTACAGATGCCGACTTGAGATGAGTGTCTGCATGCATATAGGATTTTATTGCTGTGTAATTATTGCTCTCCGATATCCTCGTTCCTAGAATGGGGTAATCAGCAATAAGATACGAAAAGAAACACCCCCAGAAGGAAGAGTATTAGACGAAAAGAAGGTCTTATTGACGAAGAAAAACCCCCACGCCCCTCCCAGACAGAAAGAAAAGAGATGATCGGAAACATGACCGTACCAGACATTCGGCTTCCCCTCGATAAACCTCCTCATCAGCTCCATGCACTCGCGGTTCTCGAGCACGACGACCTCGACGCCCCGCGCCTTGAGGTAGTCCTCGCCGCCGACGAAGGTCTTGTTCTCGCCCACGACGACCCGCGCGACCTTGTAGAGGATGCAGGCTCCCGTGCACATGTCGCAGGGCGACAGGGTCGTGTACATTGTCGAGCCGGCATAGGCCGAGGCGGGCAGACGACCCGAGTTTTCGAGCGCAGAGATTTCGCCCTGCGGGTCGGGGGGTGTTGGTTTGAGATTCCATACGTGTATGTAGGCTGGAAAGGGGAGTGGGAGCGGAGGATAGGGCAATTGGGTGGGTAGGTGGGTAGGTAATACGCATAGGTCACTCTCGCCTCGCAGTAGAGGTCGAGGACGTGAGTAGTGGTAGACAAAGGTGCGAGGTTGTGTATCTTGCGTGGGTACCCAGGAATGTGCTGTAGCAAGGGGTGCAGGGAGGTAGGTAGCTGTGTAGGATTTTATGTACTTACATGTAACGTGGCACTCCCCTTCTGAACGCGCATGTTATGACCACGACCGAGAATCTTCCCGTCCTTTGAGACGAGGCAGGCTCCTGTTTTGTCCTCGAACAAAATTCGACGTTTAATTCTGACCTTCTTACTCTCTCTCATCACATGGCATTCGCCTCCTCATCCTCGTCCCTCCTCAAACGTCTTCTCCCATTAAAATTCAAGGAGGGGGAAGGGGTTCGGGGATTGGATGCTCCCATACCTATCGGCACGCCTCCCTCCGCAAAGCCCTGTCGAGCCTCTTCCACGGCGGCGAGGAAGCCGACGTCTGTTTCTGACATTATTGGTCGGTCGGTTGGGAGTTGGAAAAAGGGCGAGGGTGACGTGAAAAAGAGAGAGAGAGAGAAAGATGCTAGACACCAGAGAAAGAGAAGGGACAAGAAAAAAGCGCAGGATGACACAAAGAAGACGAGGCGAATCGGTTGGGGTCAGGTTAACGCAAGGGATTATGATTCTCGATATCAATCTACGTACATCTCTCCATATAGAAATGACAAGAGGGAGAATATTGTGTCTCTGTCCGTACGTCGTAGCTGGTGGAGTCGAAGATCTTCGAGAGCTCAGAAGTCCGCTTGATATCAGCCCCCATCTCGCGCTACTCCGATCGGGAACAGAGCGAGATAGATACCCACCTACAGAGGTATATAAATTATGTACTCGGAACAGTCATGTCTAAAAATGTCCCGATGAGTGCTTCTCGAGTGAGGCGAGTATTCTCACACCCACACACCTTCTCAGGAGGACAAAGCCATCTATCTGTATCGAGAGAGCCTCGCGGCGAAAAAATGGTGGCAAGTCAAGGGTTGTGTTCAATAAAATTACTATTTCAAAAAGAGCTGACAGAGGCCTCTCCCTATCTATCCTTGCCGCCCTTTGGACCAGTATCGACGGCTCGCTGGCCCATCGACAGAGGTTGAGGCTCCGCCTGACGGTCAAGACATGGACGGGCCGAGCATCGCTCTCTCTAGCTAGGTATGAAACAGACAAAGCCGTTGACGCCGCTCCTTCATGCACTCCATGCCCACATCCATGTCCATGCCATGCTCATCGTGTACACTTGGGGGTATCAATTCATACTCAGTCATGAAATCGTTCTCCGTGGCTGCGCTCTCACAGCAGGAGCAAAAGCTGCTATTCACCCTTTCGCTGTGCCCATAAGGCCTTCATAGCTTTCTCCACTGCCTCGGCTTTCTCCACCATCGCATACAGGTCATCGGTCTGCAATGTCACGGTCACGGATCCAGGAATTGTATTGTTGGTCAATTCGTCACCAAGAGCAAAGTCTTCGAGGAAGAGAGATAGTCCGATGCGATCGTGAGGGTTCTTGATGCCGTCAATGCTTCGAACTTCCTAATTGACACAGTCAGTAATAGCATATGGCAGGTGGGATCCTATCATCTCACCACGCTATCGTCGCAGGCGACGCCCTCGAACTTCCCGTTTTCACCAAATTTGGCCCTCCACACCGAGATGCGCACCCTCGCTCCCACCCGATCATCGACGTCGAGGCCAATGACAGTTCGAATCTGACCATCAGTTGACTCGACATACTCTCGTGCGAGGTTATCCACAGCTTGTGTGGTCTGCGAGACTGCGACTTCGCCAATCATGACTGGGTATCGAATGGTGTTTTGGTTTATGACAGTCAGGTCTGGACGTCGCTCAATCCCGCCCTTACCATTCCTGGACGGATACTTGACTTGGGCGGAACCGGTTTGCATGAGAGATGAAGCGAGTGCGGCAATGGCTGGTTCCGGGTGTTCCATTGTCTTATTGATGAAAGATCCCAGACGCAGCTTGAGATGATCAGCAAGGGCTTCGTGTCGATGGCCAGCCATTCTGAACGTCAGTGTTTCGTTGTCGCTGGAATAGTCGTATCTGGGTCAATAAGTTAGTCATGGGTCAGGGTCAGGACAGGTCACTGCCTTGCGGGTCCAAACGTACTTCACCTTCGCTTGAACAAACTCGTCATTTTGCATCAACTCTTGGAATTGTCGGTACTGCTCTGAAGGTAGGAAGAACTCGATTCCGTCGGCCACGTCCAAGCGGCATTGTTGCGTTCGGAGCCAGAGCAAGATTTCCTGCAGCTCGGGCTTGTAGGTCTCTTCTGGCTGTGCACAGACTGAATGATCCATCACCCCTCTTGCGACGTGACTATATTGACGTGCTGCGACAGGAGGGCTGTCGTGGCGCAAGTCTTGCGACTCCTGGGTTTTCAAGGATCCCATCATTACAGTTTAACCTTGATGATCAATTTGTTGACGCGCTGATGAAAGATGTTATTCAGTGCTTGAAGATGAGTGTCAAGTCGCGCATGTTCACAAAAATATAGGTAATCTGGGTAAGTATCGGATAAATATCGGACATTCCGCATCCTACTCTTCATTCCCCTTTCGCTGCCTGTGCATACTATTGGGTGCTATGTGCCTCCTATGTAAGATGACTAACAGCTATATATACGAGGTAGACGAGAAGTAAGGTCCGGCAGCAAAGCCGTCAATTGCTACAGAGCGGATTCATTCTCAGCATTATAATACAAACTCAGACGTAAGCAATGTTCATTCATGTGGGTATTATCTATCTATCCTGGCATAAGACATATCTTGTCTTGTTCGCCTGGACGCCTGTTCTCCAGCCTCGCAAACCACTATCCGCTAAACAGCAGTCGGACCTCTCTGCTAGTGGGAAGTCTTCGACAATTTGTTCCAGAAATGAACAAACGCACCAGCTTGGAAAAGTAAAAGCATAAAATGATCAAGTCCGGGCACAATGTCCTCAGCTGACGACGATACTGTACTTCATCGTAAAGTGCATGTTCCAAGGGCCGCGATGGGACCCGATTTGCAAACATTCATCTCATGGAAGGTACCGTGGACATGATGGAAGATACGAAAGATTGATAATCTAAAAAGCAAGGTCCGAGCCGGGTCGCAGCTTTGACGGACCAGCGGGAGAGTTGCGCTTGTCTCTGACGTTGCTGGCAGAGTTGCTCCTTGGTCGATTTGCTGCAGCCATTGGTGGCGGGCCACCCCGAACACCGTATGGCCCAGGAGACATGCTGCGACCCGGCGGTCCCATCCTAGGGCCCGGAGACATCGATCTCGGTCCCTGATTGAAGCCTGGGCTCATCGGTCGCCGCATTCCGGCCGGACTCATTCTTCCGCTCGGGCTCATGGGCCTTCCCATTGGGCTCATTGATCTTCCTGCTGGACTCATTGGTCTCCCGGCAGGACTCATCGGGCGTTGAGGACCCATCGGAGTTCTGGGGCCACCAGCGGGAGACATAGGGCGGGACATCGGTCCTCCAGGTGGTGGTGGTCGGGCATATTGGTTCAGATGGGATGGCTTGGGCTTGGACGGCTTGGCGGCGAGGCATGTTCGAGGAACCACACCTTGTTGAGATCGATCAAGTCGAATGCAAAGCGCCTGGGAGTACATTAGTTGAGCCATCAGATACCATACGAGTATTGTCACTTACCCATCCATCGTCATACTCATGCAGTAAACGAACCAGCTGGCCGTTCTTCAACTCAAGTTCGTCGTCCATGGAAGGCGCGAAATCCATAAGAACTCGGTAAACATTGCCTTGAGACGATTCGGATGCAGAACCGGCCGCGGAGGATGGAGCTGGAGATGCGGGCGCCAAAGAGGCTGGAGAAGCAGGCTGCTTCGGCGTGGATACGGCAACAGGGACAGGGATAGGAGCAGGAGCGGGAGCAGTGGTCGAAGCAGATACAGGGACCGGAACGGAAACAGGTTCCGCAGTTGGGGCCGGTGTCGGGATTGGTGCCGATGCAGGAGACGTCATAGGAGCTGTGATCGGCTTCGGAGCAGGAATGGTCTCTGATCCTTCACGAGGGATCGGGGCTGCCTTGGTCTCGTTGATCGGAGCGGCAGCAGCAGCAGCGCCAGTGACGGCAATGATGGGAACGACAGGAGCTGATTTCGCGGCGGATGTTGCATTAGTGACCGGGCCAGGGGCTTCCATGGATTTCTCAGGGTCTGCAAAAGGATTCTGTGGATCAGCAAAAGGGTTGTTCGGGTGGTCATCCTGTGAAGGGCGAGTTGGACTTGGACCTCGGAGGCGGGTTGGGCTTGGACCGCGAGGTTGAGGTGAGGGACTCAGATTGCGAGCAGGGCCGGTAGCTGGGGCAGAACCAGATTCTCCGATGGTGTTGAGTAAATTGCCAGCGCTGAGTCTGCTCTTAGAAGACGATCCCATGAACTCGGGCAACATTCGAGAAACAGGTCTGAGGCTTATTCGTGGAGCAGTTGAGCTGATGGGCGGACTCCTGAGTGCCATCTCAGTGCTGCTGATTCCAGCACTAGGATTGGGTTTCTCATTGTCTGCAGCAGCTTGCGCTTCGCGCTCACGCCTCTTCTTCCCAAGCAGCCACAGCAAAAAGACAGCGATGAGACCAACGATGGCGATGACCGCGATGGCGATACCCGCTTTCGCACCAGTCGACAGGCCGGAACTGGAGGTGGACGAAGACTCGGGGGTTCCAGTAACCGCAGCAACTGCGCCGCTGTCTGTGTTCGTCACAGACGACAAGCCAGATGGAGAGCCGTTGTTTCTTGTTGTTGGTGCAACCAAGGGAGTAGCAGTGGTCGGCGCAAGACTCCCACTTGAGACACTCGACGACCCGGCGGTGGGAGCAGATGAGGGAGCAGAATTCGTTGCGGCAGCGCTCGGACTGGAAGCTTGGGTAGCCGTCTCTGCAGCAGAGTCGTCGGTGAGAGTGGTATAGCCTCCAATGACACCGGTAAAGGTTGGCTGTGCCGTGACATAAACGACGGAATAAACAGTGCCTCCATCAGTGATGGAATCTTGACGCCTGGCCAGCTCCACCACCTTGTCGTGAAAATTCATCTTCATGCTTGAACAGTCGACTGTACGCAGCACTCGGCCTGGTAAGATTATGGCTCACAACCCTGATGCGAAGCTGGTTGCGGGATGGATTTCCTGATCGTCGCGTGGTAAATCGAAGGGGATTGGACAGGCCTGCGGTGGTGGCTGCGGCCGTGTGTTTCGAGGACGACAATGTACAAAGGAGGATGTCACAGCGCTGCTGGAATTGTTTGAAGAGGGAGTGACTTAGTGAGGGTGGGAGGATAAAGGAGTGGCCGGTGATGAATTGTCGATAAAAGAGGGGCGACAATTCACACGCAGTGAATAACAGGATGAATGAAGGGGGTGAGAGGAAGAATCGAAAGAATGTCAACAATGGACTCGGCGGCGTCGACGAGCTTCGAGCAGAAGATGCGCGAGGTAGAAGAAGGAGCGACAGAGAATCGAAGCTAGAGAGCGTGGACGCTGAAGGGAGCGCAAAAGTGGCAGTGAAGCTGGGGTGTGAGATAAGAAGGACACCAGGGAAAGTGGTTTGACTGAAGGTGTTTCAGACGAGGGCGCAGTTGTGTCTGCCACTTCTGCCACTGTCTGGGCGTGGCATGGAAGAGGGATGGAGAGGAAATGATTAAACCAAGCCGAGCAGGGGCCCCTGTGGCACATGATTGGTGTGCCTGAATTTAGGCCTCATTAGCCCAAGCCACCCCAACGCCTCCCTCCTCCCCGGGACCCCAAAACAGTTTAGGGGACCCTGTACCTGCAGCTCTAGCGGGAGATGAGCGAGATTGCTCCTTTTTTCACCCAAACTTAGTCGACCAAAGTCGTACAGGAGGGAGTCAGTTCGGGATCGGACAACTGTGTGGGTTGCTGCATGTGCTTTCAGAACAATGTCTATTAATTTGGCAGTTTCAACGACTGAGGTCTGCTTGTTGGACTCGTACACAAAATGTGGCTACACGGGAGACTTCATCGGTACGGAGTGCTCGGATGCGAGGTGGATGTCGGGTATGTACAAAGCAGGTACACAAGCACCATGCAAATATCAAGGAAGCTTCAGCACGCGAGATTTGCCGACCAGGGCCCGTCCAAATAATAGACGCTTCATCCACTCGATCATCATCCAATGTTTCCATCAACACCCTCGTCGATCATGAGATTGTCCGTTTGTCCACATGTCCCGAGGACTCGTCGACTGCTCCGCTCTCGTCCCACTCGCCGAACAAGATCCTTCTCACTTTTGTCATTGAATCGGCCTCTGTCAGCTTGTCGATGTCTGCGAGTAGGCTTCGTATTGGTTTGCGATTTGGCAGTTTGCTATTGGCGCCACACATCGGGTAAAATGCACTCTTAAGCGCCTACTTCTGACGACAGGAATAGCTTGTGGGTAAGTACCCCCAGAGGTCGTCTTCCCTTTCCAGATCTGGCAGCAACTGTTCTCACTTGGCATCTGTTACGATGGCATCATCATCTCCCAATGACAGACTTCAGATCATGCTGAAGAGCTTCCTTTGCGGTCAACCTCCTTGTCTTTTCGTAGCACACTGTTCTGGACACAAAGTCAATGGCAGACATGGGAGCACCGGGCAGAATGTCGCTCCAAGGTTTCGCTGGGTACTTCTGAAATCTCATCTTGCCCCAGTCACGACATGCTTTCGCAGAGGGCCAACTGTCAGCATCCGGTGTCCCAAGCGTCGTAAATATGGATCTGATCAGACTGAGCTCGCTTCCCAACGGACCAGCGTCGAACACTGGAAAGTGGCCCTCTTTGACGATTTCTGCGACAACGCATCCTGCTGCCCATATGTCCAACGACGTGTCGTATGAATGATCACCAAAAAGGATCTCCGGAGGGCGATAGCAGGTTGTACCAACATCGGTTATCTTGGACTCTGCCGGCTCCGAGTCCTTGTCCTCGGGAGACCATGCAATGCCGAAGTCTATCAGGTAGACTGGTCCAGTCATCGACTTTAGCAGGATGTTGGACGGCTTGACATCTCTATGGATTATGCCCAGTGCGTGAATGTGTTCCAAGGCTTGGAAGAGTCCATCAAATACCATGCTTGCTTGGTTCATGTCCAACCTGCCTGATCGGAGCAGATTTTCCAGATCTTGCCTGAGAAAGGGGAACACGAGGATGAATTTCCCCCCTGATTCGTGAATGGTGTCTAGGAGAGGCACTACATGCTCATGCCGCGCCTTGACGAGCAGTCGAGCTTCCCGCTCCGAGTTATGCGGCGGCGCCATCATGGCCGGACAAGTAACTTTCAGGGCCACTATTCGATCAGGGCCTTTGTCATACTTTGCCTGTGCCTTGAAAATGGTCGACATCTGCCCGTCTGAATGGTAAGTTGCGAACTCGTAAGCCCCAAAGCTAGGACCTTCATGGTTCAGTATTTCGGGCTCTGTTAGAGGATCGGACTCGACCGAGAGCGATACATCTTGGGTGTGGAAGGCTTGTAGGGCTTCTTGTAGCCGTCTCTGGTATTCTTCCTGGTCCTGTCAGTGGCAAACTACGGAGTTCTTTGGAGCGGCGAATACTGGAGAAGAAGCCGACTGCAGAATTTCGCCCTCGACATCTCTGGCCTTGTTGCGAGCCGCATCACCATCGTCGCCGGCTGAAATGAAAGTATTCGTCCTGGTTCTAGATTAGATGGGGCGACGCGAAGTGTCTGCTATTCTTACAAAGACACAATGTTGCCTAGTCTTTCGGTAAAGCTGACGTCCACCGGCATGGTGATTGTGTATTGCGCAGAGAAGTGGACTGTTGTACCTGTTGTCCTTACTGTCCCTGCTGTTCTGCGCTTGTCCCTATGGGAGGCTCGCTTTCGTAGTCTCCGATGACATACAAGGGGAAGTCGGTGCTCAGACCTCAGGAAATGACCTGGAGACTGCGTAATAGTTCATCCTTCACGTAGACACGGCCAATGCGCCCTAATTCAATGGCGGATCCGTGTCGCTGATGGAGGAGTCAGTCACGGCGATACATGACACACAGCCGCAGGAACACAATTGTCCATATTCTGAGCACTTCTGTACCAAGTAGAAAAAAGGGACGCCCCTTGAAAATTCTCCGAAGCGGAGTGTGGAGGGGAGTCATTGCTCGGCCCTCACCATCGGCCCTCTGCGCTTATTTTCATCCTGGTCCCTACCATCCCTACCATTATAGGCACCCACGGCACCCGGGTGGCACCCAAGACACCTAGTTGTGTATGTAATCGCGACCCGCCAAATACCGAAGAGCTTCCAGACCATTTCCATCATCTTTTCTCTGCTTCATCGACGGTGCCGACTCCACACCTCATCCCGATTTCTTGTATCTGCCATGCCACCTTGTCTTGGAATAACGCTGGGTCTGATCACTTGATAGAGTGTGTTTAATGCTTGAATCATCTATTCACAATGTCCAATCCGGATTTCCAGCGCACCGACTATCTGAATCTTCTGGTAAGACCGACCCTCCGAGGACCCGTGAGCCTCCGACTGTAGAGAAACTCACCATCTTGTTTGCGCCAGGCCTCGTTACAACCGGAGCAAGCCGTAAGCATCCTCAATGACCGCGTCACACTCATCACCAAAATCAACAGTGACATTGCCGATTGGCTTCAGGTCGGTCATTTTCGTGTAACGCCTTGGAGCTGCGACGTTGACACTTGACCAGGAACGTCGGAAGGTAGAGGAAGCCTACGTCGCAGGTCTGCGGAAGCTTGCACGACGGCAACAGCAAGATGGAGCCGCTGCTCTTGGGTATGCACCGTTCCGGTCGATTGTTTGTGGTTGCTAAAGTGACGCAGCATTTTCCAGATGCCCTGGCAGCGCATTGTGTCTGGTACCGAAAACCTTGCGGCTTCGCACGAAACTCTAGCGACCAAGATCGAAACCGACGTCGAGAACCCCCTGCGCAATTGGGCGACACGAAACAAGGCACTCCATAACTTAAACACCGCGCAGGGAACCCTGACTTCAATCGCAAAAGAACTGTCCAACGCACAAAGAAAGGCTGCAAAAGGTGGAAGAAGGGCCGACACAGCCAGTACCACGGTGGAGGACGCCTCGCGTCAGTGGGAAGCTCAGGCACCATATGTCTTTGAGCAGTTGCAAGTCGTGGATGAGTTACGAGTCAACCATCTGCGAGACGTCCTCACACAGTTCCAAACACATGAGGTGGACTGCATCGAAAAGAACAAGGTCAGCGCGGAGTCGTGTCTGAATGCACTACTCAACGTCGAGACCGCGGACGAAATTAAGACCTTCGCAGCGAGAGCCGCGAGTGGGGGACCCAGTACTCTGCGAAGGCTCAGTTCCGCGACAGCTGGTGGGAGACCGACCAGCTCTTCCCTTCGTCCTCCACCAACGCCGCCGCCTCCTCGTGGCACGTCTGATGGTCAACGCTCAAATTCTTTTGCCGGCCAAGACAGAGTGGCGCCCCGTGAGTTCCATCAGTATGTCATTTGACTGGTTCTGACTTGTTCTAGTACCCGATGCCACACCGCACAAAGAGAAGAGCAAACTGGGTGGCCTCAAGCGACTTGGTACCGTCATGAATAGAAGAAAGAGCGTTGCTCCACCAGTGCCTCCCACGGAAGAGAAAAGGAGAACGCGATTTGTGCCCTTTAGAAGAGGGGATTCATCACGAAGCTTTCAGGATCTAGAAGAGTCAGGACCGGATCTTACGCCAGCCGTGACCCAAGAAAGGCCAACGTCTTCAGTTTCCCAGGACCGACGACACGATGTTCCCATTCGCGATATGTCAGAGCCACCTCTCCCTCTATCGCTAACAAATGGAACCACCCATCCACAGTCTTCCGAATCACAGTCGTCTGTTGCTCAAACGCAATCTGGCGTGACAGACAGCATCAGCCCAATACCAGCTCCGCTTAGCAACAACCCCTACCAACAAGTTGTATCCCCTCAACCACCTGTTGCTGAGTCCATGAACCCGATCACCCAGGCTCAACAAGAGGCAGCCTTGGCTTCTCCCCCTTCAGACGAACCGGCTCGCAATTTCATGATCCGGGATAAGCCAATTGAAGAGGACGAGAGCGAGGCTCAGCTAGCGATGAACAACATGGCCAATCAGCTACGTTCTCAAGCGCAAACTGCCGGCATTAACCGTGTCCAAGGCAGTGTACGTGGACGAAGAGATGTGCGGAACACGATGTACGTCCCGAACACCAAGGACGTCCTCCCTCAGACAGGTCGCAGTCCTGCGCCTGTGACGATACCAGAAAACGCCACCTCACCCGAGGCCACCCTTGCATCACCCCTTCAACGGCCGCCACCTGTGGGGGTTTTGCACGACGATCATGGTGCAATGGGTTCCGACACCGCCTCAATGCACTCATCTAGGAGTTTGGCTGGGCCGAGTTTACATCCAGATCTTCACGAGCCTGGCCTCAACGCGTCTGTGGTCGAAACAGTACACTCCTGGTTTAACGAAGCCGGCATCAGCAGGTCTTTCGTGCTAGGCGAAGTGGCACTCGCCTGCAACTCGACGGGCGCGAACGATGCGGATACGGAAACCATTCGCATTCAACATTTCGAACTGCTGGATAAGGTGGCCGCGAATCCCATATTCATGAGCCAGATCAAATCTCCTGAAGACTCGACAGCTCAAGCCGAGGAACGAGCGGGCTGCTATTCCGTGCTTGCCTCCTCTCTGAGGCGACCGACGCCCATGATCTGCTTGAAGTACCAATTGCACATGGAAGAGAACAACCTGGCTCAATACAGTCCTGTCTTGATCACACCAGCGTGGCAAATTGTCGAGGGACAAGTGAGCGTGATTGTGCTGTACAGCCTCAATCCCATCTTTGGTAGCGAGCCAGTGACACTCAGAAACGTGAGTATCAGTGTGAGTCTCGATACGACCGATACGACTGGGGAAGGAATCGGCAAAGCTGTGTCTGCCATGATGGCGCCAACCCAAGGAGCAACTTTCCGGCGCAAGACATCGTCAGTGGTGTGGCGCATGAACGAATTCACCGTCAAACCCGAGCAAGAGCGTCTTCTTGTTAGGTTTATGACCCAAGGCGGCTTGGCCAAAAAGGGTGGCGTTGAGCTGAAATTTGAGCTTCCTGGACGAACGGCAAGTGGTGTTGGGGTGGAGAAGCTCGTGGCAAAGGAAAACGACCCCTTTGCTGATGATGGAGGGGCGGTAGAGGATGGAGAGGCGGTGAAGCAGAGCTGGGAGACGGTGCCGACCAAGACAAAGCTGGTCAGTGGACGGTATACTGCCTGCTGATGAGGCCCCTCGACATACCTCTCCATCGTGTTCCCGCTGTTGGGGAAGGTGAGAGGGACGTTGCGAAGGGTTTTACCAAAAGGATCTGAAGAGGGAAGAGCGAAGAGCGAAGAGCGAAGATGGTAAAGAGTTGTATAAATTGGATACCGGATCCCCATGTTTTTACTGCAAATAATGTAACGACCAGCGAAGCCACAATCATCCACCACCACCACCATCATCATCATATAGTGTGTATAGCGCCAGTGGATGTCCATTGTCTCTTCTTGAGAGAGAGAGAGAGAGAGATGGTCAGAAAGAGATCATTCAATTTCCCCCTTGTCTGCCATGTCTGGTCTCACAGGAGTTCTACAGCACATATGTAGATATCTCGACGAGGCTGTGGCGTTACTGTTGCCGGTGAATTGAATGCCCAGAAGGTGATCCATCACTGGTACCGAGTACAAGTCTGACCGTTGGTCGGATGGATAGAATGCGTACAAGATATATCATTGGGGTGTGCTCGCTGCCTCTAATCCTTTCAGCAACATCCAGCGCCTCTTTTTCGTCAATAACCATATGTAGCCTGGGTTCACAAAAGCCTCGTGTTGTTGGCGGCTTTCTATCAATCAGAACTGGACAGCAATACCACCTCCACATTGGAAGAATAGCACCTCTGCTCGACGACAGCTCTCATGTCCACCATTCATCTGTGGCGACGACATACCACCTCTTCGCTGACGAACGTCTATTTCGGCAACAATACACCCCGTTCCTTGTCGTAGCTCGCCACCTCCTTGACTAACGCCACAAACTCCTTTTGCTTGTCCTTGGGATGTGCCACTACCTTCATAAGATCTTTGACAGTTATTCCCTGAGGTGGAATCGCGTTCTTGATGTCTTGTGCCGAGGGGAATGCTACCGGTCGGGGGATGGACCCTCCAGCAGAGACTGGAGTTGGGGATGCTGCACGCGAGGATGGTTGAGCTGCCGGAGAGGCTGTCCCTGCCGCACCACTCGGGGGAGGCGAGGTCGACATTTTGAGCTTAAGGCGTCGAGCACGACTGCTATCGGACATGGCGGCGGCGTCTGTGTCAGTGTCTGACCCAGCCCCGACAGAACCTGCGGCCCGCTTTCGCGCTTTCAATGCTGCCAATGGGTCCAACGTCTGCGGAGCAGAGGAGCTAGGCGGAAAGTTCACGGGGGACATAGGTCTCGAATGACCCGGCGTGGGTTGGCTTGAGGCCAGATGTTTCGACTTGAGCTTCTTCTTCCGCGTTGAGACATCCGTGCCGGAGGCATCAGAGAGATTCGGCGAGCCAGGGCGTTTTAAGGACCGTGTCGATGTGGACTTCTTCATGCCACCTTCATCTTCGCGGTCGGAGGCTCTCTTCTCTTTTCGGCCCGAGGGAGTATTGGCACCAGAGGACAGAGCAGACTTCTTGGCCTCTGCGTCTTCTTCCTTCTTGATGTTGGCCAGACGCTCACGCTCGATTCGTTCTCGTTCTTCCTCGCTGTCGGTCTTTCCGTAACGTATTAGTGAGCCGATCGAATGGAGCACAAAAGGAGGGACTTACCGAGGACTCATATTCAGAATCACTACCATGGTTGTAATTCCGTTCCCGCCTCTCCAGGGCCTTTCTCAGGTCCCGGAAATTCTTCTTTCTAGCCTCTGCTTCGCGCTTTTCTCGGGCTTCGGCTTCATCATACTCCTTGAGGTCCTTGAAATCGAGGAAATTGGCCTGCAGCTGATCTTCCTTGATCCTCTTCTCTGCAAGCTTCTCGTCCTCGTCCTTGTCCAGGAAGAGATCGCCCTCCTCGTCATCGGCGAAATCGTCTTCATAATCCAGATCGGCTTCCTCGCCAGTCCGCCCCGCATCGACTGTGGTCCGGGCTGCGCCCGAAAACAGTGCCTTGCTTTCTCTCGCCGCGCGCTCTTTCAAGGCTTCCTGGATGCGAGCTTCTCGATGGCGGATCAGCCACTCGGGGTCAGAGCCTCCCTTTTTCATCGCGGCCTCGACCTCCTCGATAGTCATCTTTTGAAGGTTCTCGCGTTTCGGCTTAAATTGGTAGACCTTTTCAATGGGTATCAGCCGGAATTTGCCAGTCAAACCATCTCCTGCCGGCTCGTAGACAAAGGCCGCGTTGGAGCTGACAGAGCCGATTTGATGATGTCCCACGAGGCAATGCTTGTTGTCAAAATCTTCCAGGTGCCACGGCAGTTTCTCTTCGTAGTTGTTCTGAATTCGGCGCTTCTCCTCGGCCGAAAAATCTGGACGGAAGACTTGTTGGGTTTTCTTTTTGAAGTTCAACTTCTTGCCAGCATTTTGGGAGGGAGCTATTTGTGCCAGATTCGCCTCGCGCTCTTTTTGCCGAACTTCTTTCCGCCGGTTCAGCTCTTCTCTCTCTGCAGGATTGAGCCCGTCTTTTGGTTCGGGTTGCTCTTCTTCCTTCTTTTCCTGCTGATGTCCCGGAGGGGGCGCGCGAGGATCGCGTCGATGTAGCCGAACGGGCTTTGCGAACTCGGATTCATTGCGAATGTCTAGAGGTTTATCGGTTACCACCTGGAGGATATGATACCTGAGGCCGTTGAGGAGATCCCTCTTTGTTGTCACTAGTTTGTAATCCGTGTAAGATATCCCTTCAGCTGCAATTCGAGGGTCACTGAAACCGCTCACACGCTCGCGATCTGGAATAGCTACTGCGGACGGGGAGGACGCGTGTGCGGGATTCGCAGTCACGGGCGGTAACTTGGGAGCTGGATGACCGTTGACATTGACTGGGGGAGTGAGATGGCCGTTCAGCAGAGGCTTGGTCGTAGCAAGCTTGATCCTGGGGCCTTTGAAGAAGGGATCAGATGCAGGCTTCTTTCTTCTGACCATAGGAGGAGCGCCAGGAGGACGGGTTGCGGGCACCCCAGTGGGCGCGGAGCCTGGATTCATCGCTAATGCTGGGTTCTCCGTGACCACACCATCGATACAGACAAATGACAAAAGAAGGAGAAAGAAACGTTGTGAAATAAATGCGGTGACTTGTGAGTTTGACAGCCGAGGGTGTAGTTTGTGGGAGATGGGGATGCTATGAGTGACCCTTTGAACGGTTGATGTTTTGGGATGCAAGGGCAGCTGGAGGTTTTGCCGTCATGCACAGAGTTTCCCCCCCACTAATTTTGCTGCCTCGCTGCCTACTTGTATTTGTTAGGTAGGACCTAGAAGTTGGAGGTGGATGCCTAAGAAGCGTGGGTGCCCGCTGCCGCAGGTAGTAGCGCCCCAGCAGGTATGTACGAGTGCAAGGATATAAACTACTCGTAGCGAGTGCCAAGACATTCCTCTATCCTTGTGCGCCGCTGGGATGCACAAGCATCTGGGGGCCCTTGGGGGGTAAGATTTGCACCTAAAAGTAATGCTAGGCGGCTAATTCTCCGTGACTGGCAGGTGGCATATGCCATTCGCAGGCAATGACGAGCTTAATTAGTCGTAGGTTCACCACTACACTTCTCTTCACTTCACCCCCATCTGATTCCCATTCATCCATTCACATTCACTCCCCACATTGTTGACATTTCTATTGCACTCAGAGTTCCTGTTGACAGACGTGCTGTTCAAGGTCTTCACCTACTGTGAGAGGCGTCATTCCACTTCTGCCTCTTTCACTAATCGTGACACAATGCTGATCGATTCACCTCTTGCTAGCCAATATCACCCTGGTCGCGGCCTATCGTAAGGTTCATCTGAGCCTTGTTTCGCGGTTTCATCAGCGAAGTCATGGACACACCAGGGGATCAGTCCGGCTTTTCTCCTCACGTCTGGAATCGACTTAATGAGATGGCTCAGCAGTCTGCACCTCGAGCAAGAGGTGGTCGTCGTGGCGGCAGCCAAGGCCAACCCAGAACAGCCTGGTTACACCAAGACCAAGGAGAGCAACATCGTCCGGATAGTCAACAACATGCTTTCTCGTTGGCCTCTAATCCTGATTCATTCCCTCCTCTAGGAGCACAGCCACCATCTCGTGGGAGAAGCCGTGCTCCGAACCCACCAAGATCGCAATATCCGCCAGAGTCCCAACCCCAGTACTTCAATAATACGCGCCACGGCTCTCCCAGGGAGTATCAAGAACGTGCAAGGGGTCACAACCATCGAGGTTCGCGCTCCTTCGGTGCGCAGCAACGTCTACCACAGCACCATTTCCATCCAGAACATCAGGCACAGTTTGCAAACCCAGCCGCGTCATACTCAAACAGCCGACCTCAAACCCACCAACACGGGCAGCTCTACAACCCTAACGATGGCATGCACTCCAATACAGGTCAACAACAGCGCTCCATGAGACATTCGATCTTGATGCAAGCGGACTACCTCACCAGCGTCGGTAGAAAGGCATATGAGGAACACAAATTTGAACAAGAGGAGAGAGACGCCAAGGAGAATTTCCGACGCACTTTGGAAAGTATTGCAAAACAAGCACTGGGTTCCGAATACCCAGACTTGCAGCAAGACCAGATCAGACTGAGGTGCTATGGCAGTCTTGCCAACGGCTTCGCCCTTGCAGGATCCGACATGGATCTCCTTCTATCGTTGCCCTCCAACAAAGAACCAGAAACTGAAGCCAACCTGAAGCCCACAAGTGAATCCAAAAACGCATCGGATAATGAAGAGCAAGAACAGGCCTTCAAGATTGACACTGGTCGCATCTTGGAGAAAGCCTTTCTTGACCGCGAGTATGGAGCCCGGCTGATTACTCAAACGCGTGTTCCGATCCTTCGCATCTGTCAGAATCCAACCCCAGAGCTACTTCGCAATCTGCGCGAGAACAGCATCGCGTGGGAGGGCTCTCGTGGCGATTCAGGTGTTGTCGAGTCCGACGTCCCAATGGCAGACGAGCCCTCAAAAGAGATGGACTCGGTTGAGCAGGCCTTGACCGACCTCAATCTTGGAGAGATTGCACCTGCGAGGCAAATTCGCCGTGGTAATGCTGGTCTAGAGTTCAGCGATAATTGTGGCATTCAGTGTGACATCAACTTCTCCAACTTCGTGGCTCTTCACAACTCGGCCATGCTTCGACTCTACCAGAGTTTCGATCCGCGAGTCAGAGAAGTGGGTGTCTTTGTAAAGATCTGGGCCAAGACTAGGGACATCAACACTCCATATCGCGGCACTCTATCAAGCTATGGTTGGATTCTGATGGTTCTTCACTACTTGATGAACGTTGCGAGGCCACCCGTCATCCCCAATCTACAGCATCTCGCCAAGGTTGACGACTCATGGCATCCAGATAGACCAATCGAATTGTTCGAGGGGTTTGATGTCCGCTTTGTCCAAGACCCCCAAAGTCTGAAGGAAATTCGGGAAGACATGGCTGCAAACCCAAATAGAGAGTCGGCAGGCCAGTTGCTGAGGGGCTTCTTCCAGTACTACGCAACCTATCAAGGCTTCCATTGGACTCGGGATGTTATCTCGATCAGAACAAAAGGTGGTCTCATGTCTAAGCAAGCCAAAGGCTGGACTGAGGCGAAATGGCAGCAGACACAGCATAAATCAGTCCGACTTCGTTATCTGTTGGCGATCGAGGACCCTTTTGAGGTTGAACACAACGTCGCGCGCACTGTCGGACACCATGGCATAATCGCTATCCGAGACGAGTTTCGCCGAGCGTGGTCAATTATCAACACAATTGGTACGGATCGGGAGACCCCTGCAGAGGATTTTCTCGCTCCTGTCACGGAGCGGGTTGACACGCTGAGAAAAGACTTGGAGTCCCGCAAGGAAAGACAAATGCAAATGAGACAGGAATTGGAGGCTAAGGAGAAAGCATTGCTTCGGAAACGGAATGAGGAATTCCCGGATCCACTTACAGATGGTACGTTGGGAGTTTCCAGTCCAGGGAAACCCGAGACCCATTTATCTGAAGAGAGCAAGCGCTGGTCAACAAAGTCGAAGCTGACATCGACAACCTATCACCAGGACAGGAACCTCAGATTCAAACCAGAGAGCTGGCGACACAGAAGGGTATTAGTCGAAAGTGACGACGAAGAAGAAGGTGATACCACCCATGCTCGTGATCAAGGAAAAGGGCAAGAGAAACCCTGTAGTGCCGCTCCACCAGTCAACACCGACCAAAAGGAATGTTTCTCCTCCATATCGGATGTGCTACTGAGCCATGGCTACAATCAGGAAGGGAATCCTGTGGCTTGGGATATTAGCACTCAGGATGGACGCTGGCTCCAGCGGAGAGATCAGAAAATGAGGCAGGGCACAATATTGTCATCCTCCCAACCAAGTCTACGCAAACTCAACGAAGGGTGTCCCTATGACCCCAGACGACCAAGTCCGTACATCGACAAACCACACGCGGGGCATCAACAGAGAATAGCCTCCGAGCGACCACCATGGCCTTCGAGTAGCCATTATGGGAGAAATAAAGGCAGGAGCACACTTGTCCAATCTCAGTCTGGCGAGAACAAGCCCACTCTGTCCAGAGTTGAAAGAGGTGTCCAGGCGCAGGCGCAGGCGCAAGACATGTTAGCTGTTGATGTGACGGAGAAAGGGGTTAAATCGTGTGAGGCAGACAACTATGAAAATCGCAAAGTCACCCCTAGAGGTCCTAATCACAAGCCAGCACGTCAGAGTCCGACAGATACAATCGGGTCTGACATTCCATGGGACGGAGACACTGAGGGTGGTCGCTGGCTCCGATGGCGAGATGCACGCATTCGTGCAGGAAAATGGCAGCTCCACCCAGACTCTCGGTATGCAGAAATCGACCTTGCGTTCCCGTACAATCCGGAGATGACACGGAAAGAACTAGATGGAATGAACAAACTATTGCGGCGCTCCTACAAGCGAAGTATTTACAGTACCAAACAGCGCCACCCCTTGTCTCGACACGTTGCGACAGACTCCTCCAGCATCAAGCGCAACGATCGAGCTTCATCGTCTGGGTTGGGCCAGACAGCAGCGTCTGCAATACAGACCGATGCTAAGAAGTCAACCGAACACACATTGGCAGCAGAAAATGATCCACAACCATGCAGTCGCTCAGTTATCTGCTCAAGTTCTTCTCTCATCACTCCGGTGACAGACAAACCACCTCCGGCTGACAATCGGGCTTCTCATAATAGCATTTCCAAAACAGTGCCAACACCTACCCGAGATGATTCTCGAAACCCAGATCTAGACTTTCTACGGTCCCAGCGACTCGCCTTCTTTTCAAAGACGATGGATCCGTCCGAGGGCGAGTCTGACCAAAATATTCCATTGCACTCCAGACCAGCTATCGCGAATAACTCACCTGCTTTGTTCGATCAACAGCCCCAAACACCTGTTGAAGTGGCGTGTGGCGCAATTGGAAATCCCTCTCACGAGATGGGAATGAAGGCCTTTTCTAAGAAGGCGAGCAACCCTTCTCACTTGGGCGACAACGAATCGTGCTTGGAGATAATAGAGTCGGGAAAGAGCCAAGATACGCAGAATACCTCGCTTGAAGTCCCTGCCACATTATATCCCTACGTCGACAGTAACGAACGACCAAGAGATGAAGACCCCAAGATTATTCCTATCCCTCGGCATCTCGGCTTTCGTTTCGATCCACGACAATTGGAGGATCTTGCTGTCATTGCAAGAGGCGGCAATGGATGTGCAAGGGCAGGAGCCCAATTCCACATTGAAGAGGAGTACGAATGGGGCGGCGGGGGGATGATGGGATGGAAGACGAGCAGCGGACCGCAGCTTGCCAGTGTGAGTGGCCACCACACAACGTACGAGGCTGGCAAAGGGGATGAACAGGGATTGCTTGAGGAGCTTCCGAGGGATGTGGACTGATGGGTGACCAGGAGATGTTGTCAGAACGACGTGGGGAATGGACATGGACATCTAGCAAGTGCATCGGTATTATTCCAGCATTACCCAGAGGGCTCCAGATGGTTGAGGTCTGTGAGAATTGTCCGTTTGTCTGGAGGGCGAAGGACCAAAGATCAAAAGGCGATGGATTTGCAGGGCGAAGAGTCAACATGGTTTTGGCTGAGAAGTGCTCTTCTCTCAGCATCTGGATAGAATTGGTCAAGAGGATGAACAGAGAAATGCCTCTCGGCAGTCGACAATATGAAGTCGTCTTGCCAAAAGGGGTTTGAAGCTGTGTCTTGCTTTTTCTTCTGCTCGTTGCTGTCTACTGTCTCATCTCTCATAGAGGCTGTGGACATCTGTCGGCGACAACTGGGTCACTGTTGTCCGTGGTCGAGTCCAGCTGTCGTACAGGAGAAGGACTTGCCAACGTTTTCTGAACAAAGTTACAGTAGTTCTGTCGCCACAGCTCCACATCATAAGGGTCTCATTAGATAAATGCAAACTGTCTCCCTGAGGCTGTTGAACAGATAAAGAGTAAAGCAGCGTGGCCGTGTCTGTCCAGAAATGGTCTAGCCTATCTTGGCTGCACCGTTGATCATCTCCTCCTCGATCCAATCCCTCGACTCGATATGCTTGACTTGTCTTCGTACCAAACGTTATTTCTTCTCCACCTGGGCCGGCTCCAGACTGTTTGAGTCGTTGATCTTTTCAAGCACTGTAATTACAAGTGTTTTACAGAAGGCGTCCGGTACGCTGTCAAGGGGGAAAGAGAGAAATTGAGAAATCAGAACAAAGGAAAAAAGGGGCTTGGAGCAAGACAAGGGCGGTAAAAAGAGTAGAAATCATGGTGTCAGGACCCTCGACATCACCGAGACTTGTCCCCTCGAATCGACTGTCATGGTCCCGCCACGTTACGCTGGATCTGCTGCTGCTGATACTGGCCAACTCGGTCTTCCACCCCTGGATCACCCTCGTCTTCTACCTGTGTCTGGCCGCCGTGCACAAGCACAAGGAACCCCTGGCCTTTTACACGCTGTACTACACGGCGTTTCTGGTCGTCGCCGAACTGGCCGTCTGGCTCAACCACCGCCTCACGTACGGCCGCCACCGGAAAGTCGATTGGGAAGACGAGGTGGTTGTCGTCACCGGCGGCGCCCGCGGGCTGGGCAGAGTGCTGGCCGAGATGCTCCTGAGAAAGGGCGCAAAGGTGGCGGTCCTGGACATCCACGGGCCGGACGAGGAGGCCCGCGAGGAGATGGAGCGCTGGGACCTTGTCTGGGAGGTTGTGGACGTGAGCAATGCTGCAGAGGTCCAGGGGGCGGTGGACCGGGTCATTGACGACGTAGGTTGGACCGTCCTTCTGATTCTCTACTTCTTCTATTCTCTCGTAGGCTCACGATAGATATCAATCAGCTCGGTCGGCCGACAATTCTGATCAATAACGCAGCAACATCCATCAATGGCCTCCCTCTGATTTCTCCAGCGTCCTCGGAGTTGTCGACATCGACGCTGTCTCCCCAGCAAGCCACCAAAACAATCACCACCAATGCCCTCGGCCACTTCACCGCCCTGTCCGCCGTCCTCCCTCATCTACTTTCCTCGCCCCAGGGGGCTCACATCATAACCATCTCCTCGATCCTCTCGCATCTCAACCCTGCCCAACTAGCCGACTACAATGCGTCGAAAGCTGGCGTCTCGGCGCTGCACAACACCTTGTGTCACGAACTCCGCACTAGCCCCGATCCCACTGTCTTTGACAAGGTGAAGACCATCCTCGTCGAACCAGGCCAGCTCTCCACGCAGCTATTTGCGGACATTACACGAGTACCCTTCTACGCACACTTTTTCGGGCCCGTGTTGGAAGCCAAGGATGTAGCCAAGGAAATTGTGCGGTGGGTGGAAAGAGGTGACGGCGGAGTGATCCGCATGCCATTTTATGCCAAATGTGTGCCGTTTCTGAATGTGATGCCAGGGGCAGTGCAAAGGGTAGTGCGGTGGTGGAGTGGAATCGATCGGGCGATCGTGGCGAGGGAAAAGAATGCCTGAGGAAAGGCTGTACTGCCGGATCTGAAGGACACTGCAGGCAGGAGTCCGTTGTATGATATGTCAAAGTTGTAAAATGGTTCGGCTCTTTGCTCGGAATCTGTCAAGTGGTCGGTACCCAAACCTTGGAAGACGTGCCTGAGCTTTAGTGAGCCGTCCCGTCTAGGCTCATACCATCCATCAGACGCATGACGGTGGTTTCCTAATCATCGTCATGGATCGTGATGCCAGTTTCTTTGACCACTTCCGCCACACCAAAGTCGGAGCCTTGATCCTCTTCCTGACTCCCTTTTGGTGGGATCTGCAACCCACCAGCCTTTCTCTTCACGCCTTGCGTCTCCCCATTCTCTACGGGCTCCTTCGTTCCATTTACAGTGTTGTCTGTCTTTTTGTCTGTGTCCTTTTTCCCCTTCTTCCGATTCCTGCGCTCCCGATTCCGTCTGGTCTTCTCCTCGTCTCTCTCCCTCCTCTTCCGTTCTTCTCGTTCCCACCTCTCGTCCTCCTCCTCCTTTTTAGCCTCTTCGTCCATGGCGCGCAATCTCTCATACTCTCTCCGTCGACTCGCCTTGTAGACGTGAAACTCTCCGGAGCCCGCACCGGCGCTGGAACCCTGGACATTCGCGACGATTTCGGGAGGCGCGGGTCGAGATTTCTGGACGGCGGTCGACGGGGGCGGGAGTTGGACGGGACGCGAAGGGTCGAGGAAGAGAGATTCCACTTCGTGGGCCTGCTGCGAGATTGCGCGGGCGTTGGGGTTGGCAGTGTAGGCGCCACGAGCGCGTTTGAGCGGGCGGTGCGAACGAGGGTCGGCAGAGGTGGGGATGGCTTCTGGAATGGGTTCAGACATTTTGTCGAGTACCTAGTGAAGGTGGCTGCCTCTTGTGGTTCCAAGCCCAGCCTGAGTGAGGATGAGGCGACGAAAGGATGGGGGAGAGAGTACCTCGTACGGCGCGAGATGCAACTGCAAAGTGACGTACGTACGAGGATCCCCGACTTTTTCTCGGCGCTAAGGAAACCAAAGATCCGCAGTAGCATCGTGGCAGTTCTCTACGGTGAGGCATAACTCCATCCGTGGCGACAAGTTCAACTTTCGCTGTCATGGTGGGACTCTACGCATAGTATTATCCTATCTACTCCTGAAGGCTGCTTCTCGATGTTCATATTGTCAGGCGGCTTTTCTACTCCGCCATGAATCGGTGACGGGAAGGAAAGTCCACCGGACTGTCAATCGGTAGTGCTCGACCCGCAAGATGCAGAAAGGGACTGTGCCGAGTCTGAAAAGAACGTATGAGGTAGGCCAACTCCCTCTCAACCATTCGAGAAAACCCGTTCTTAGAGGGATAGAATGCATTGCGACTCCTCAACACCAGGCGAAGGAAGGCGAGGCCCCAAAATGCAGCCGGCCCGATTCCCGGGCGTCATGTCGCTGTCCAGTCGTCTCTCCGGGGAACGCCCAGCATTGCCGGCATGCGGAATTGGCTGCAAAAGATGGGCTACACGGTACGTTGCGAGAGTTTCTGTTTTCAAAAGCTCTGCAGATACTAGTTCTGACGAAAAGGGGGGAAGGACGGCGACGTAGACGCTTTGAACATTGTCCACGTGGCTGGGACCAAAGGGAAAGGCAGTACCTGTGCTTTCACACGATCTTTGCTGCAGGAATGGGGCAAACGAACCGGGTTCCCTACCAGGATTGGCCTCTACACGTCGCCGGATCTCACATGTATTCGCGAGCGGATCCAGATCAACGGGCAACCCATCTCCGAGGATCTTTTCACAAAGTACTTTTTCGAGATCTGGGACCGGTTATTCTCACGGCAGGATCGAGTGGCGGCCGAGGACGAGAGACAGCCCCGGTACCTGCAATTGGTTGCGTTACTGGCCATCCACACCTTTTCGCGCGAAGGGATCCAAGCGGCAATCTTTGAGACACACCACGGCGGCGAATACGATGCCACCAATGTGTTTGCGGCGCCCGTGGTGACCGGAATCACCTCGATTGGACTAGATCATCTGGCGCAGCTGGGGCCCGGGATCGAGGATGTGGCCTGGCACAAGGCGGGCATCTTCAAGCATGGGACTCCCGCTTTCTCTGCTCCACAAATACCCGCGGTCGAAGCCGTGCTGAAATCTCGGGCTGCTGAAAAGGGCGTTCACCTTGAGATAGTCCCAGTCAATCCCTCGCTGCCTCTCCATGCGAATGCGCTACGTGCGCAGGTGCAACACATCAACTGTTCCCTGGCCATCGCCCTCGCCAACGCCTTTCTCTCCCGAAAGAGCCCCTTTGAAGAGAAGCAGCTCGGCGAGCAGGATGTCAGGAAGGGGATCGAGAACTTCTCCTGGCCGGGCCGATTTGAGGTGATCCAGACTGCCACATGTACGTGGTTCCTGGACGGAGCTCACAATGAATTGAGCATTGGACAAGCGGTCGAGTGGTTTGCTGAGATGACGAGGACTTCGTACGGCGACGGTGGTGGAGAAGATGCTCCGCCGTCTATGATCATCTTCTCTCACATGTCAGAAGAACGAGACGGTCCATCATTATTGAGGGCGTTGGCAAGTGCGGTCAAACAGAACGGTGTCCCATGTCCTGAGATGGTGTTTACCACGTACCAGGAACGACGCGACGGAACCATTCGACCAGGTAGGCCGCTACATGCTGACCTATCTATTTTGGGAGACTGACCGAAAGCAGACAAGACGTTGCATGTGCCGGACAAGGTAGTGGCAGATCTTCCGAGACAATACTGTGACCTGTGGGGGTCGATCTATCCAGACGCAAAGACCAGCTATGTGCCTTTTATTGAGGAAGCGCTGGAGTATGCAGACGCGGTCGGCATGCATAGAAGGGGCCTACAGGTATTGGTGACGGGCAGCTTGCACCTGGTGGGCGGCGCAATTTACCTGCTGCGACGGGGGAAGGGGAGAACGGATGAGGT